CCTTGCAGGATACGAGCTTGTGTCAACGTTACTGGTGCGTCTAGGGCCAGATTGCTCTAGAGAACTTGTCTGCATTCTTTCATGTTTTTTCTTTGGGCTCCTGCGTGGCTCCTTTGGCTCTTTAACAACATCTGCGCAAACATGGACTATGACGTGTTGATGTTTTCCAAAGCTAAGGGTTCCTGCCAATATGCCAACAGAGTATGAGGGTGCTAAAGGGACAACGCAGGACAGCCATGTACCAAGAGGGTGCATTGCCTACTTCACTGTTGAGGTGCGCAGTTTCTCGATCTAGTATGCCAAAGTGTGTTGAGCTAGGACCATTCTTTCCAAAGGAGTCCCTCACAATGGCCTGGCACTCAACACGCAAAGCTGAGCTTTTCAAACTATTGATTCGAGCAACCTCTATAGAGCCAGACAGCCTGTCGTGATATAGCATCTTGCCAAGCAAATCCTTACCCATGGGGTCCCAAGTCCCAATTCTGCAGAGCCTACATTCAAGCAGAACAGGAAACTTGTGTGGACCTGAACAAACGCCTTTGAGCTCCAGGCACAATCGCAAATGCCTGTACATTTTCCACATAAACTCTGAGCAAGCCAGCAGAAGAAGCTAAGCCGCTAACTCCTGGCTACAAACTTCTGCAGAAACCTTGCTCTGATTTGATTTACGTTTGGTTGAAGGACACCTTTAGGCAAAAAAGCTCAGCCCTGGACCCTATGAAGCGTTATGCCCATAAGCCCCCGTAATGGAACCTAAACTCTGACACCTTGAGATCGTGAAGGCCTGGAAGCTCAAACTTTTAAAGCCCACCCTACTCCTAGAATTCCAAGCCTTGAACCTTGAACAGCAGCAATTACGGCACCTCCATGGTCAGCACAGGCGTGAGCCGCTTCTTCAGCTCAGGCACCTGGGAGAAGACGACGGAAGCAATTCTGCTGATGTTCATCGTGCCTTCAATGCCTGTTTTTGTATTTTAAGGACCACTTAAGTTGTAGTTGGCTACTTGCTAGCACTGGTGATGTGATTGCTGTTGGGGCTTGTCAAATACCATGATTGCCTCTTGCTAGTAGACTCACTGGGATGGGCCTAGGGGCTTACCATGGGAAACTGTGAGGATCCATGCCTTCACTCCCCACTAGCAAGAGGCAGTAACAAGGATAAGGCTGAGGGGTAAGGCTTGAGGACGCAGGCTCCATGGTGTGGAGCTAAGGGCTCGAGCACACAATGCACTAGCACCTGCTTTTCCAAGCGTGTTTTTAATACGATGACCTTAACCGAATGATGTTCCCGAGAGAAAGATCAAGAAGCAGCTGTACATGGAAGATAGGTGACATCCCGCGTTTTGAAGTTTGCTAGGCTCAGAAAGGTTTGTGTGTTGCAGGCTTGCTTCAGCCCCACATTGACATAGAAATTCAAATCACTAGCCGTTCCTCCGTTTGAGTAAGTCAGTGTAGCGCCAGGTCGACAGCGCTCGGCATGCATGCATAGCACTAACGTCACTGATGTTGGCAGGGAAGGCACCAGAACTATGGCTAATCAACGCAAGAACGCAGAAATGATGCTAGTATGGTATCGGGGCGGGGATCACAAACTTTTGCACTCAGCCCCAGCGCTGGGAGGCTGGAACTTGCAACTTAAAGCGCAAGACTGGATAAGCTATAGCCCAAGATATGAAACATCTGGCCTCAAATTCTGGCCCTCAAATCTCTCAGCCCTAGCCTGGAACACTAGCTCCTCTGCTTTTGATGGACATGTAGCCGTTTGCAGGTGAATGTTTCCATCACAAAGTCAGAAATGAATCTACAGTCACTGAGCAACAGCTGCAGTCCCACGAAGACTGCCTATGTAGAATTGCAATCTCTGCACAAAGGCCCACCGGACACAAGGCGGATTGAAACGGAATGTGCACAAGCCTCTACAAAAGAATGACTATCCGGCAAGTATCGCGCGCATGACCTCTACCTCATGGCCCCATTGTACTATCCATGAGTTCCGAAAATGAGGGAAAGTACATCCCCATTAATATAACCCATTATAGTAGTTTCCATTCTCTTTTCCATTATCCCTATAAAACCCAAATACGTACCCTTTATAATCCCTATATAACCCAGTATCCCAATGTAATCCCTATATACTATAGTAGTTTCCATTTTCTTTTCCAAGTTACCCCTACATAACCCCTATATATACAGAGACCAACCTGGGAGCAACAAAAACAGAGACATGTGGAAACATTAATAGGAATATAATAGAATATAAGGACCCAAGTAGGTATATTCCTACTATATCCTTGGGGTTCCCTATGCTACGTGGGGGATGACGAGCTGAGGGAGGCACTGCGCATAAGCAAAGCAGCTCATGCTCCGAGGCCGTCCTCGCCCGATGCGGATGTCTGTGGGGATTTGGGGGAGCTTTTGATTTAGGGCTTTTGGGCTTTAGGGCTGGGTGTAGTTTCAGAGGGACGGTGGAAGATGAGCCCAACTCAGAGCTTACATGGTGAGCTCTCGAGCAGGGGCGGCATACTCAAAATTTGCCGCCTACACGGATCTCGGAATTTTTCGGAGATCATGTGGATTTTTCGTTATTCGAGGACTACACAGGTCTCATAAGGATTGCGTTCAGCACTAAAGGCACGTTTGCAGCAGCAGAGAACGGAACACAGCTCTTGAAGCATTAATATAAAGTCTGTATCGCCTTTGATATAGATGCAGCTTGAGTTCGAGTGTTAACTTCCTATGTGACCTTGTATGGCCTACAAGAACTGCTCTGAAGCAGAACGCGTGGATTTGCTTTCATGGGAACCCAAGAAAGCCATCACGTACGAGCAGTCTGTAAAGAGGCAGACAGGTTTTCGTTTTCACAACATTGCAGTTATGGACGCTGTTCAAAATTCTAGTGTCAATGCCCGCGCCCACCCTTTCGCCACCTTGCGAGCGTGGACATTTCAACAAAGTGTAGGTACAATTAAACATAACCAACATAAATTAGGAACTGTTTAGTCTTGTGCCAGTCCTTGCGCGAGCTTGCTTGTGCATGGATTCTTGTAACGCCTTGCAAGACCCTAATGCCGCCCTAAGTCTGGCTACAAGAGGCGGGGCTTTAGAACCGGATCCATGTGGAAAGTAAACCTCGGGGAGCCGAAAAGGATATCTGGTTGTTTGTCTTCAAGCCTCGGATCAGTCACGTACAAACGCATTGGCTGCATCCCCCGTGAAGCTCGGTACCCACATTATGAACACTACGTAGCATCTAGGCACGCCGGTCGAACATCTTCATCTTCAATCCTCACACCTGAGTCCAATGATAAGTGCCCTGGGTTTTTGAATCCCAGGTCCTATAATGTACATGCAGGATGTGCTTCCTACTCATCGGCATGCTTTCGTTTGACAGAATCAACACTCCAACCAGCGTGTTTCTTCTCGTACTCGTGCAGAGTTGAAATCCATATAATCAGGAAGTTGCCCTTGTCCTGCTTGGCGTTGGCCGACCCTTTTCCGGCCTCATGGATGCGGCAAATTCTCGCAGCCTGCAGTGCAAGCAAGCAAGCAAGCAAGCTCATCTACCCTGTCAAACATTCCCAGACGATTCTAAGCCCCGCTGATGGAGACATTCCTTGTACTTCACGGAGTGTTCCCTTTGTCAAGCGTCTTGAGCGTTCCTGGACATTTATCAAAGAAATCAAGCTCTTCTTTCAGAGGCCATACTGCTTGAAGTCCGCGCAGCGCTTTCAACTATTGCTCGCCCATGGACAAAAACATTCCCCAACCACTTGCATACAGCTTTTTTCTGGGCACCAAGTGTTCTAGATCGTTCTAGTTGCTAAATGGACGCTGGCCAAATCAAAAGCATTGCAAACCAGGTACACCAAGGACGCATGCACCGTATGAAGCTGATGGCTTATGCGTATGTACTCCATGAGGTTCAGGAAGCCACGAGTACCTGGGAGCCTGCCATTTGGTCAAGACACTAGCAGGAAGCTTGAACCCAGGCCTGGAATCCCGCGTTTCGGCTCTTGTCATATGTCCCAAAATTAGGGCATTTGGGGATCCCTATAAAAAGGATTACAATATTTTGGGGTCTATATTAGTCGGGCCCCACTGTTCCTGGAAACTACCATATCCTTATCAATGAGCCTGCCTGGTATCCGTCTACACGGATTTGATTTCCCACGGATTCAAACACTGGGCTGCGCACTTCGTGGGCTGGCGAACCTCCAGGAACTCCTTTGCAATTCGCCTTGGAAAGGGGGCGTGAGGCTTCAGGAGCCTAGCAAGGATACCTGCTGGTTGAAGGTACACTTAGGGCATAGTAGACTAGAATATGCCACGAGCGTAGGGCAGAAGCCGCTCTCTTTTCATCCAGGATCTGTTGGTATGGCGAAAGGGTTTGATTGAAGTCGGCTTAGGATGGAGGATGCAGAAGGTTGCTCAAAAAAAACAAATTCTGCAAGCTAGTGGGGGCGGTGCTGGATGTGATGGTTCGCACAAACGAATCTTGATGATTATGGAGGCTTCTAAGTGAATGCTAGCTGAATGTCTTGCATAGCGCAAACACCACAGGCGAGGGGGGCAATCGAGTATGTGCGGTCTTAGGGGTATCAGTGAGGTTTGGCCCATATTGGCTATCTCGTGATCAGCCTAGACATGTTGCCTCTTCCATCGGTGAGTCCGATCATCAGGGAGAAAGGCCCTGCTGAGACTTCACGAAGCATTACCAGCATAAAAACCTACCATCCCAAACGTCGAAACTATGGAGCCATCCTCTTGTCCACACAAGTAAAAGTAAGGTGACGGCAGTTGGCTCGGCTTCTGCTCGACTGCGATGTAGTGGAACGGATGGATACAATCTTCATAAGAGAGGTTCCACAAGATGGGTCTTGATTTGGCCTTCCTGCGATAAAGACTCACTCAAATATTATTTTGGGGAGCATGGGGGACACCGGGACATCCATTGTGAGAAACGCCACATGTACCTCCATGGTCAAGTTTAGCAGGGTGGCTCTGGCGACCAGTCGAAGGGCGGTGAATTCAAGAGGACAGCTGCCGGTACCTCCAAAGAAGCGTATAGCGGACCAGGGAGACATGGCTGAGGGCTTTGGCTTCAAGAAAGCTTCAGGTTGGCTTTGCATGGTTATGGTTGTCCTTGTTTCTGTACGAAGCAACAGAACTCGCATCATTCCTGTTTGAGAACCTTTGGAGAGCCTCCACCTCAGGTGGCATCCAAATACTGCGGATAAGAAAAATGACGCGAGCATACGAGAAATGCTGAAGGGTCAGAGCTGCCCGGAAAGCAGTTACACGCTGATTCTCTACCTCTAAAGACAAGTTAATTCATGCTGCAGCATGATACTGAGTGGGAGTTATGGAGGTTTGATCGTACGCCAGTTGGCTTGCTACCGGGCCTCCTGCCATACCCTATCACCTCTTCTGCCCCCTCTAATTACAGCTCATATCATATCTCCCCTGATGCTACATCAGCAAGTATACGGTATACGGGATAAATCCCCCCAACCCCAAATCTAACAACCCTGAGCTGCACATCTTCAGAATGCCCACGGCTCTTTACACATGATGCTGTATCTGGTGTTTGTCTCCTTCTCAACGACCGGGCTGCTGCTAAGGACGTTTTACTTCATCATCCACGTAATGACTCATAAGGTATCCTTGTATGATAGCTTAAACTAAGCTAGACTAATCATAACAACAACGACAATAACACCAGCCGCCACCACAACCACCACAACCACAACCACCCAGAGGACTGAGATCCTGGCAAGCTCGAGGACGTGAAGTGACTGGTCTCCGTAGCGATGCTGTCGCAGGACGTGATTGAAGACCATACAGACCTAGCAACAATACAGGCTTGTGGGATTACCCTGCAGACCCTGCAGGCGGCATGTCGTTCATGGTCGGGGGGTTCATAGCCTTTGAAAGTTCAAACAATACTGAGCTCAGGATCAGTAGCGGGCTTTCAACCATAAGGTGAGTAAGCAGGCGCAACTTTTGGAGCGGCGAACACTAGCCCTGAAGTGGTCGCTCAACACCTCAAGTACCGCAAGTAAAGCCAGCGTAGGAGCTTTTACGAGACCACTTCACTCGCTAGGCAAAGGGTCGAGCAATTCTGCAAACCACGGCCCGGAACCGCAAACACTATTGAGGTCATACCCAATCCTCTGCGTGAAGCTTGAGTCCCTCACCGTCCATAAATCTTTAGACACTTCATGAAAACAAAAACCCCGAGAGCAAGTGTTGCCCAAAGACCTGCTGCCATGCTCGCATGTGTATTTTCAAGCCGGGGATTGCCAAGGACGATCTAAGTAGTGCCCACTGTTTATCTTCTCCGACTTAAGCCATACTTCTCTTTTTGGGCATCTAGGTGTGGCTAGCATGCAGGAGAGAGGTCAGAAAAGCTCCAAAGCAGGCTCCGGAATGAAGAGGCCAAAGCCCGAAGGGCTTGCACTTGGATAGGGGGCTTCAGGATTTGTGGAACCTGGCAAAGAGGAGCAGCAAGTCTTGGTACCACGATATGTTTACGACATTTGTGCCCGCATTATCATGCTGCCACTAGACATCTTGCTATGTACGTTCATAATGCCCCTGAAGCACGACCATTATCCGGAAACCCACTCCAAAATCCCACCAAATGCCTAAACTCCAAAAACCATAAGCCAATGTCCCCAAAGAATGTGAAACAGGAAGCCGGGAAATTCAACCCAGCCAACCTCAAGCCTGTCCTAACCCAGAGATCATAGACCCTACATGCAAACCTTACAGCAAGCCCGGTACGCCTCTTCAGACAGCTGTTTCTTGGATCGCCTTGTACGCGACAGGCGGCCTGCAGCGCCAGGGTCATTACAAAAGCAGGAAAAGCACATGGCCGATGTCCAGCTCGTGGCTGTTAAGAAATGAGAATATACCCGTGCTCGCAGCACCCAAATTTCCAAGCCCCATCGCCTCCATCCAATTTCTTTGCACTGGAGCCTTAGACATACCATCCTAACCTTGAGTCGCACCAGATCTTAAGAATGCCTGCGGTCAGCCTTGGTAGGTCCAATCGAACTTGTGATCCACGAAGGCATCATCAAGTCAAGCTTCAGAGGTCCCTAATAGCGGCCACAAGATACTCCATCCCCACAACCTCAACCACCTGGAATGTTACTGCTCAATTTGGCCTCAAGTCCATCATGCTCAACAGTTTGAATGGCAAAGGGAGATCAAGCAACCATCAGCCAGGTTCGTATACTCCACCATACAGCAAGTTGTACGGTCTATTCAACTTGCTTGACTCCCACAAGCCACCAAGGAAGCAGAACTGATAAAGACAACTTCTGGAGTCTGGAACTGTGTAAGCCCTTGTACTACCCTTTGAGGCATTGGGTCCTGAAGGAACTCCGCACCCTAAGCCCCAAACTGTGTGCCTTGGCAGTCTTCCTCAAAGGAGGCCCACTCACGCTCGAACATCTGGCGTGCCTGCTCTTCCTTGGCCAAGTCACTATTAAAGGCTCAAATCAATTGTGCTGTACGGGGTCCCGCGGGGCGTGTGAAAATTGACTGTTTATAGGGAGAAGCCCCAAGGGTTTGGGTCAGCAATTTCCGGAGAGCTTAGGATTGGGTCATCCTGAAGAAACAGACTATCCTGACTATGCGGACCTCCTCCAACTTCTTTCAAATTCAAACGCCCTCGTGTTTCCTGACCTGCTTTTGGCGGTTCGCGGATCAGTGAAACTAAGCTTATGAACAAAAAGCACACTGAAGACCACAGTGAGGGGATTTCTGATTCTGACCCGGCTTAGAACTATCCATGAACATCAAGCCTGCAAGGACCAACTCCTTCGCCTGAAGCTAGCAGAGCATCCACCCTAAACCCCCCCTCCACCTTTAAGCCCTCAACCTTAGACACCCCAAATTCTAACTTCTTGACTGATATGCATGCAAGGCACAGCAATGCTTTGCGAAGCTTCGGCCTGATTGGGAGCCACAAGTCAAACAGCGACACGTGGTGGCTTCCAAAAATAGACGGCCCTTAGGGACCCTACGGGTAGATGAGGATCATGGGAAACAAGGGCGCTTGAGGACCATATAGGGATCGTGTTGCGAAAGTCTGACATCAGTCACTGCGTTTGGGTCATCAAACTTATGTAACGACAGTAGAATCTACCAAAATCTCATTCTTAGTAGAATGGTTTAGGCCGCTAGATTAAATCAGAGGGCCATCTGCCGTGCCTCCTGAGCTCTGAGCTGGACCGCAAGTTCTTGCCCCTTGCACAGCCCCTTGTACTGCCAGAAGTCCAGAAGGTACATACCTCCCCACATCCCTCACTAAAACCTGGACTGACCTGTGTGTGTGCCAAACTCTGTACCAAAGAGCTTGTAATGCTAGCGTTGATTTGGAACATGTTACAGCAGGGGGATGCCCCACACCTGAAGAGTGGGCATCTAACAAAGAAGCTCTTCAGAGTGTGCTGATATCAGGAGAGGACGCTCTCTTGACGTACTTGCGATGGCCGCCCGAATTACCCTTAAAGCTGTTGCTTCTCATATTGGCCAGACATGACTCAGACAAAGAAACAGAGATGAATTGCAGCCGCCACCCATTGGACCTCATGGTCCGCTCAAGTGTGTGTGCTTTGGTGGTACATTTACGGAAAGCCTGACAACCTTGCCGAGTATATCACGTGATCTCGAACCCAACCCTGGTTTGAATGCAGCACAGAGCTTGGGATCCCCAAGCAGGCCGTAAGTCTGCACTGAGCCACAAGAATTGACTTGGGGCTCTTCAGGCCTACGAAATAGCTCTCAACTCATGATTCTTGAAATCCATGTCATCGAATGGCCGTCGAGGGAGCTTTCCCGAAAGCCGCTGAAGCTATGCCCTGCCAGTGTCTGAAGCGAAATCAGTAAGTATAGCGCGATTTGGTCAGTTCTCATGCAAGCTAAATTCCAAAATATTAGCCAGATTCCCAGGTCGCCTCTTACCCGTTGCGCAAGCCCCATTTCAAACTGCAGCCTGCTGCATCGGACGTATGTTACCAAGGAATAAATGACAAGGGTTGCAGGCGCGACCATCACAATGCTTGAGACGACTGGCCAGAATATCCCAAAGCAAACAAACGCTTGCCCCTGAAAATGTACTCACACAAGCCCACAGGCCAAGCAAGAAAGCGTCTGGAGCGAAATCTGTGGTGAGCCCTCCAAGCCCTGAAAAACCCAACATTGCTGGGGCTGATCTATTCGTAAACCCTGATCACTCACTAGACCAAATGAAATCCTCTGCAGGCCGGCTGAGCAAGTAGCAAGCTATCAGGGCCCCTTTGAGGCTCCATGACTTCTTTCCAAAGGGCAGCATAATGGGTTCAACGCCTAGAATATGTGTTTAAGCGGCTACTGAACAGTAACAGTAGTCACGTAAGGAAACTTTTTAAGTATTTGACCAGGAGGACGCCCAAATGGACCTTCAACAAAACAAGACAACGGAGATGTTAAGCCCGCTACATACTAATCCTATTCACACATCCCTACTTAGTCAATGCAAATCCGACGCTTAGAATCCCCAGCCTGCCAAATCCTAGACCAAATCTCCAAACCCTCTATCGTAATCTCCAAACCCTCGCCTCTACTCCTGATCCCACAAAGAACTCCCAAACCTCAAGCCCTACACTCAAATTCTGGAGTCCATAGAGTCCCTAGAGTAAATAAGGTAAATAAGCTTCTCTACCTGGTTTTTGGCGTTATCTATCGTTTAGGAGCTCTTAGCCTTAGCCCTATAGGTAACCCTAATCCCTCATGCCCCGGCCTCCCAGAGGTGCTCGATGGTGGACTTGAAGTGCACCTTGAGGGCCAAGCAGATCAAATGGCTTGCTCGGGATGTTCTGTAAGGCTTACATGGCGGCTTCTGTCACGATGCAGAACTCCTGATCGCGATATGTGGCATGTGTATATCTATGTCTCGAGAACCACCTGCACAAATATGGTGCCCTGAAATCATGTGCCCAGATTCTTGGAGTCTGAAGCCGCGGCTGAGGCAGAACTTCTGATCGCAAAGCCCAGGGTTTCGTGTTGCGCGACCCGTAAGAAGAACCAAACTACCTCCAACTCGTAACGCCCCTCTACCCCTGCTATTGGCAACGCTTCCCGCACCTACAAACCTCGGAGTAACTTCTATATTCGCCGAAGATCCAGAAAAACTGTAACGCAGAGGCCTCAAAATTCCACGAGGGTCAAGGTCATTATCAAAGGCTTCTACATTATTGCTTTTCCGAGCCTTCAGCGCCCTGAGCTGGTCCCGATCCGTCGCGTCCGCAAGGCAAAGCGACCAAGTGTATCGAGCCAGCTCGCCCTGGAATTAATCCCTTCCAGAGGGTCCAAATACCCAATAATTAGGTACTTGAGTTTGGGGTAATAGTAATTTTAGTATAGGTTTTGGGTAAGTATGATTATTAGGTACTTGGACCCTTAGGGCCTTCCCTTAAGGTGATTTCAAATAGTCCCCTCGAATAACAAATATTCTGCCTAATGTGGAAGCTACAGTGGGCAGGGGCTCCTATCATCAGTCCCTTCCCCCTAACCCAAGGGCTCCAAATCTATATATAGTCCCGAATTTACTTGCATCGGAACCTTAGAATGAAAGTACCCACCTAAAGATGAACTTGAATGCTGGCGATACTTGGTGGGGGGTGCGCATTACTAGGCAGAGAGGATTAGACAAACAGCCTTGCATGAAATCAACGTTATGATATCTTGGGCGCTGTAGAAAGGGGGACCTTCATTTCTGAGAATGCTCGGGTAGAAGGTTGAGGCTTGGATTTCGGAAGTGGTTCTATTTAATGCCAGGTTTAGGGGATTGCTTCTAGGTTTGTGGCGTGAGTATTCCAGGTTCAGATTCAGGTTGATCTTCTAGTACCAAGCTACAGCCATTGAAATGGAGATTGTTTCGGACTACAGCCAGGAGGAGTTGAGTGCTGGCACCGTCTCCACTGGCTCGCGAAACTTTATAGGGATTATATAGGGTATATATTGGGGGTATATTGGGATAATGGAAAAGAAAATGGAAACTATAAGGACACTAGTCATCCAATAGTTTTGAATTTGCTGTGCCTAGCCTCTCTGGTATTGAACACATGTCAACAGTGGAGGTGGTAGCTTCCAATGCAACCTAGGGGACACCGAAGGCATGCCGCAAGAGGAGGCCCGTGAACTTGACCCTCCCACATCCAAACTCTAATGGTTCACTCGGATGTAGAAATCTTAGGAATGTACTGTCGCATCTCCCTACCCTATAGGCCATATTCTAGTCATTATTGGGGCCCCTGCAAGAAACGGAGAAAGGCTGCTACGGATGCTCCAAGCAATGGTGACATGCCCATTGTCCAGACCCTTCAAGCGTGCAGAATTCTGCGGATAGAGTTCGTGCAAGACCTGCATCCTCAAATCTTGCAACACCGGATGCAAGCCCCAGCATTGAATTGAAGAACCTGCCCCCTCCCCAAAACAAAGCAAGACGTGGGCACCACTCAAACAAGTGAAGATGTTACGTGTGGCAGATTGGAAGTCCAGAATTGTATAGAACCGGCGGCATCACATTGCTCTGTTCATGGAGGAAGTCCAGCATTTTGGCAGATCCCCGGCTCCCTGGCCCCAAAGCAAGCTCCCGGAATCATGAAGGGACTTTGGTTCCCCCCAATCCGATTACAAGGATCCAGAAGCCCGCACAGTAGCCATATGATGGCCGTAGGGTCCTAATTCCTAATTTTGGGGATGGAAGGTTCTGCACAAGGCCCGCACTCCTCTAACACCCAGAAAAAGACCCGCTCTGTGCAATCCCTATTAGTGCCATTCAGCCTGTGAACGAGCAGAGTTTTGGGGCCAAGCCAGGCAAGATTTGGTGCTGCTCTATAATGGATGCTCCTGAAGGACATGAAATCTTGCTTCTTTAGAGAATCCCAGCGGAAGACACTTCTTGAATGACACGCCTGATATTCGATTGGTGTTGTGAGCTTCCGCCTTGCTTCCTCCTTCTGCGCCTCGCGCGATCCACGCGCGCGTTTCATGCAGTGGGATTCAGGTTGGGGGCTTGCATCTTTTCGGGTGCGTGGATTTAGGCTTGGGGGTGAAGACCGCGGAATGAGTGCTTTGGGGCTTCCGAATTTTTTCGTAGGCCTGCGGATGTTAGCTTTGGCCTAAGGATTGAGACCTCAGGATGGCGAGTTTGGGGTTATATATACTAAGACAAATACGTAGGGCTAGGAGATCAGAGGAGCAAGGAGGATGCTGTAGGTTGGGCTTCCGGAATGAGGGCTGAAGGATGGTGGCAGCAGCGGGTTTGAGTGAAGGGATAAGGACTGAGAGCTTCAAAGCTAGGCGGGAGGGATTGGAGGATTATAGTTTAAGGTCGCTCTCGGGCAGAGTGTTCAGCAGCATTTAACACGAAATTCTACATCCTGACCTCGCAAGTTTTTTTCCGGTAGACTTGCAGCTCAGCACTCACCTCTCAAGTCTCAATCCTTAAGCGTCACCTTAAAAGCCAGTGCCCGAAGCCCGAAACCAAAAGCTCGAATTCCTGAGCCCGCATAAGAGTTTCCACAAGCATGGTGACCCAAATTAGATCCCAACGTACTAGATACCACCCTCAAAAAGCCTAATTGCAGGGAAATCACTCTATCCCTCAAAAGCCTCCGGAAGTTTGGACCTTCGGCTTTGCATTGCTTTCTCCAGTTCAGCCTTCGCCTTCCTGGGTTTGGCGAAGGTTTTCCGGGCTTGTAGCATAGGGAAGGATAGAATGGACAAAAAAACATGGAAGCTACACAATTATGAGGGGGATGATACCATAGGGGCTAGTAAAGGGATGCATTCATCCCTTCCCTACTTTCGGACTTGGGCTCTATGAGGCTCTATGGCTAGAACCCTTAACCCCGTTCTCAACTTGGAACATGATAGTAGACAAACACAATTCCGGGATTCAGGCAGACATCATGATTTAGGGGAGCGATCAGAGTCCATGGTTTACTACGAGACTTCTGGGACTTGAGTATTTAGGTGTAGATATCGGGCAAGTGCCAATGTTTTTGGAGTTTAGGTGATCATGAGGTACTGGACATACTCGTGCAAGCTGCAACTATCCCAGTCTCAGTTGGTATTAATGAAATCTTGGGGCCCTGTAGTAGATTGCAGAATTACTGGGGAATCAGAAACGTAGCCCCACAAAGAGAGACCCATAAACTAAGGATTTCAGCTCCCTAAAGGTCTCGTGAAGTCTGCTAGCATGGCCCCCATTTAATTACATGGTGTCGCTTCCATAACAATCAGGTTTGAGCCATATGCCGTCATAGTAGTCTGGATGGAGAGGTGATGGTCCGTTAGTTCATCCATACTTTCTTCTTACCATGGAATGTCTGGAACGATTTTTTGGAAAATCCAATGTGTCCCCATTTGGAGGCCCATTGCCAGTACTACTCAACAGGAACAGCAGTACTTCTGGCATAAATTCTTGCAAGCTCAAACCATGGGCATTCAAGTGTGGGGACTGGGATTACTTGATCAATAGGTGTGCGGGTCTATGGTCTTCGGGCTTACATAATTTTTGACCTGGAGACTGGAGATAGGGGATGGTAAGCGTTTTCCGTGAGAAGCAATTGAATAAAAGCTTACGTCGGACCGCATGTCATGCGTTCTCCTTTTGCCTCTCGCGTAAGGGGCAAGGAAGATCCCTGAAATGGGACAGTGCGAAAAGTTTACAACATGCTTCCCCGCTCCTAAAAAAATACCGTGCAGACACAAGATTTGCATAACGCCCCACCTAAGACAAATTTCCATATAGAGATGGGGTGAAAGGTGTGACTAGGCACGCTGCGGCCTTTCATTTGCTACGGATTGCAGTTTTCCCGAGCACGTTGAGAAAGTAGCTGAGTGAAGTCCAGCATATCTAGGGGGAGGTTTCTGCAAGATCCACGTATCCGGGGACTTTCCGCACAACTCAACATGAAACCCCAAAACCCATGTGGTTTTCTTGCATCCTAGCAGCTTGTCGAAGCTCTCCAGGATAGCTTGAAGAGAAGACCTGGGAACGGATGGGGGAGGCATGGTGGGCTCAGATTCTTTCAGTCTGCTCTGATGAGGGGTTGTGGTGCCAGCGCGGTGGGTGGCGGTGGCGGTGGCCGTTGCGATGACGACGGCAGTAGCTGTGGTGAAAACGGTACCGTTGGGACCCCGGCCGGAATTCGCCATCAACCACGTCACCGCTCTCGCCATCACTGAGCCGCTTGGTGGAAGCGTTCACAAGAGCCTCTCCAGGTTTGGGCTTTTGGCTGAGGGGTTCAATGGCTTGAGGTTGCAAAGTATTGGGTGAAAGCCTGACCTTGCCAACATGGAGTCGTGGCGGGAATTTCGATGCCTTTTCGAGGCTTAGAAAGAAACTAAAATTCCGAATGCTGGTGGCAGAACCGATCAGGACAGTTCACAATGGTAGCAAGGAGCAGACATCCCGTCCCGTGGACATATATGGCTAAGCAAAGCCACGAAATATAGAACCGCTCTGACACCAACACATTATCAAAATGCAGTCCTATGCTTCAAGAAGGTAACAGCAAAATGATCACTTTGCCCAGAATCTGTGCCGCACTTCTGGGCTTAGAGCCCAAAACTGATGACATACTGGCTATGGAAATTTAAGAGCGAGACAGACACAGAACCGATTTCAAATGTCTGCAAACTCGAGCAAGTGCATGCTGAGTCCTGTTCAGCCCGGAAAAATGAAGTAAAACATGTCTCCATTGACGTATCTGCCTAGGGTCCATGAACTTAAGATCCTACATTTTGAGTACGTGGTCCCATGAAAAGCCAGATTTCACGGAATCCTCTATTAAGAGCTGCTGAGTTGCTGGTGAACAACATGTTCTCCTGAATCCTATAGTTACTGTGACTGAGGTGAACTCGTGAATGTCATTGCAAATACGATAACTGCTAGTGTTACGTGCGGTCCTCCTTCTATTTTCAAGGAGTCCAATGAATATGACTTAGATGATCATCTTACAATTAAAGTTAAATGCCCTTGACTTGAAACCCGTAAACTGTAAACTCCAACCCTAGAACAAATCCTGAGCCTGAGACCATACCCCATAATTCTAACATGACCGCCCTGCCTGGCACTGCTCTGAAAGGCCACCCTTGCTACGAACCAGCTGCGAGGAGATCTGTTTGGCAGTCTCCTGCTTTCATGGGCAGAGTTGTGAAGTTGCGCAGTGTAAGGTAGCGGGTTTGAAACTCTCAGAACGAGGTTTAGCGGACTGCGAGAAGTTGTCTTTACGTGTACGGAATGCCATGCACGGTAATAATAGTATTATTCGCTGGAAATCTGCCAGCAATATGTGGAGAGGGAGAGAGCAACATGATGAGTAGATCAGAGGACATGCATGAGTAGTAGATACGTGTACACAAGAATACGCTTTTGCAATTGTATGGAGTTGTGCGAAGATTGATGTTGGATATGTATGGAAGTTTCACCACTGGACAGAACTAGGATTCCTCACATGTAGCCGAAGAGCATCGCTGCTATAAGCACTGCATGAAGTGAAAAAACAAACCTGAAATGTTCCTTGACCTAGCCACGTCCGGAGCTCCGCAGGTCCTCGATCTCTCGCTGCAGCTCGATCTCTTGGATGGTCTTGTAGTGGAGCAGATTCGGCCCTGTCGGATCCACTGCTCAGGTCTTTCTCGATCTGCCCATTCCAACGTTCTAAAATACCCATACGTATTTGTGCTGTGGATGTGGAGGCTGTGAGGCCTCCTCTGGTATCATGTTAGTTATCGGCAACAGAAAGGTGAATACGCATCCCGTGGGCTAATTCTGCATATCTTTGCTACCCAGCCATGCTTATGACTTAATTTGCCGCGGCAAAGTATTCGTACAGCCGCTACAGTAGCGCATCCTCGGGCAACTGCACATCCGTTTCTAACACAGACAGGCATTGCAACAGCTCCCCCTCCATAGCGATGGACATGTTTACAGCACCCCAAAACTCTGCGACCCAGGCCTAACCAAGTGAAAAGATCACGCGGGCCTTCCTACCATGCTGATCCTCTGATGCGTAACCGGTCATTTGACCAGCTGCTGCCCAAACAAGGCGCCTGTTTCTTTATCCGTTTCAGCGCTTTTGTGATAGCAAAGTCACTACAGCAAACGCGACTCGCCAGCTTCTTTCCAACTTCAACGATGAAGAATATTGCTACGGCAAAGGCTCTAATTACTCGCAGCCACTGCGCATATCAGTAGGAGCTGCATTGTGCCAAAGAGGACGTGTAGGGAATATTGTAAAGCCTCCACCCCCGCAGAAACTTTGTACTGATTTGGACACAGCTGCTAGAATATCCCATACAATTTCCATCAACTCCTGCGGAAGCATGCTGACCATTTGAAGAACAAAGGCCCGGACCGTACCGATCCAAGACTCGCCAGACAGACATGGCATGAAGGCAAAGGCCCGGACCGTACCGATCCAAGACTCGCCAGACAGACATGGCATGAAGGCACCTTGGGCAGGTTCTGGGCTTTCAAACCCCCAGAAGCCCCTCTATACACCTGACTGTGACTGGAGCGAATAACTTTGAAAAATTCATGGCTCACGCAACTAGATCTGAAGCCTGCAGGACATCTTAAAGAACGTAGGTCATCAGTTCAGGCATAGTGTGTAGGCATTCTGGTGAACCGTTTAGAGTTCCACGACATGAGAGAGCTTGTTCCCAGATGTTGCGTGCGTCCTTTTATCTCATGCAACGTGGACAAGATCTTTAAAGTGCATATCCGGCTTCAGACAATTGTTCGTTCCACCATTGCCAGGGCGCATATCACTAAGTTACACGGCCAAGCTCGAGCACAAAACCAAACCCTTTTATCAAAGTGGAACTTCCAGATAGCAAATGCCCCAAGATCCAGGATTTCTGTCGTAAAGGTGCTACAAAGCCGGAAGATCCAAGAAGGAAACCAATGCCTTAAACAGCTGACTACTAAGCCTAGCTCCTTGACCTGTTTTGAATTCTGAAGTGCAGGCTTGGGTGTGATCTAAACTCTCATTCCTCACACTGGCTTTACAGCCCAGGAGCCAGTCCGGCAGAGTGGAGAATTCCGGGGCTGCCTGGAAAAAAAGGGTGTTGCCGTGTTGCCCTTGCAGTTACTTTTTGGGGTTGGGGGTGTAGAGATGCATGCGTCTGAATCTTGAGTGAGACGCGCTTTTCAGAGTCAAGCCATCAACCCTACGTGGAAGCTTGGAAAAAGATCAGGAATGCAGCAGCACGCCTCGTCATCCTCTTGCCCGAAACCATCTACAGTCCAACTCTAGAGTCCTAGAGACATAGACATTGCAGTAGGGACATGCTTCCCGCAAGGAGACGCTTGTGACATCTCGTGACGACTCTTTCCTCGGGAGTAATAACAAATGGGCCCGCCTTCCCCAATGTACACGCTGTCCAAAACCAGCTTTCAAGAGTATGTATGTCGTATGATGGCTCCGCGGAAAGCAGTTGACCGAAAGTCACCATAACAAGTCCCAATCCCAAGGAAGGTGAGCCAATTCTGCAAGCACAGCACGGCAACTCAGAAGAAATAATCTAGTTGTTTGAGGTTTCGCTGGCACGTTATGGAGCTTTTAGGCGCATAAGCCAAGAAGCCCTTGCAAGTCCTGCAAAGGAGGGGAGAGGCAAGGGAAGGGGTGAGGGAGGTCATCAGGATGTCTGGCCATGCGCAGGCTGCAAAGATCATGGTAATGCCGTGAGCGACGCCCGTCCGATAACCCTGACCCCACCGGTCACGCTGATCCGCTTCCTCCTTGCCAATCTGTACTACCAGGTGTTGAGGCATATGGGGCTTTGGGCACAAAACCCTCAGCAGCACTATGAGGTCACTGATTGTTACAGCTTCGTCTGTAAACTATCCCCTGATTTCACGAACAACCAGAACTTGTTATGACGTCACTGAAAGGTCGCGCAGGCAACGTTTAGCTTCCGAACTCAATATTTTGGAAACTCTACTCGGAAGCCCATGGGTGGGCATCAGTAGGGTCTCCAATACCTTGCCGTTGGGAAAAACTATCATTATTCAAGCCCGAGGCCACCCCTGAACCTCTAAGCAGCCCTGACTCTATAATCCGCTGATCATGTTGGGCCCCTCGCACACCACTTTCTTTGCCAGGAAGCCTAGTGCGATATGACTCCAATCTTCAGGCAACATGGACTCCCTCTACGCGCCAGACCCTGACCCTTATGCACATTGAAGAAATCTCAACCCCAAGCCTCGAACCCTGAACCCAAACCCTGCACCATGAATCCAACACTGTAAAAACTCAACGCCAATCCTTCAACCCTCAGCCTCAAGACTCTGAACTCCAAACCATCATAGCCCCTAGGCGCCAAACCATGATCCCTATAAGTACATTGAACGCCAGCCGCTTACATGGAAGCTCAGCAATGATGCCCTCTTGCTAGACCTGTGAGTGTGGGAGAATGTACGTACCCAAAAGGCTCAATATCAATGTTGAGGCCACACGGTAAGCCTCACGAAATCTTGAACTTAAGCTCTATCATTCCCTATAGATGCGCTACCCCTAACACCCAAAATCACAATCCCTAAACCCTGAATCCCAGAACACTGGAACCAAAAGTGCAAAAAGCCTCTACACCCAAAAAATCCTGTCACCCCTAAACCGCCTAAACCTTCCCATTAACATTCCCAAGAACTCAATAGGATATCGCTCAAGCCCAAGACACCTATAAGTCTAAACCCTATATAATCCCAATAATCCCTACACCTTAGTAGTTTCCATTTTCTTTTCCATAAACCCTACATAACCACATGTTTCATCCTACAGGACAGGCCTGTTCCGAGGCTCCGTGGCGGGCTGATGCACTCAGCAAGGAGTCTGCCTCAAGGAAGTGAGGAAGGGTTTTGGGTTTTGCTATACTGGGATAATGGAAATACAATGGAAACTACTAGTACTACATAATAGGGCTATATAAGGATCATGGGAAAGAAAATGGAAACTACAGGGATTATAAGGGTTTTGGGGTATCTAAGGGGTGTGAGGCGTGGGGCTTGGGTTTGTGGGTTTGGGGGGTCAGGGCTGAGAGACTTGGAGCTGAGTTTGGGGCACTTAGGGTCAATGTCTTGGAGTTGCCAGTTCAGAGTACTGGCTCTAGGTTTGAAGACACAATAACGGCACTCCAGCTAGCACTAGCCCTAACCAACAATATATGTGTTCATGTTAGATGTAAGGCTAGCTAGCTCAAAAGTTATAATGGTTGTAACCATGGTGGAGCAACATATGTCGGAGTTAGTCAGGATGCCCACAGGGTCGCAGGGCTGAAGTTGTTGTATAGGGACTGTACTCACAGCCTGGCCTGCATTCTCAAGAAATGGAAGCCAGGAGATGAAGGACAGGAAGCGTGATGCTGCTGCGTATGCGACTTGCATAGACAACCAGATAGATTAGGGGGACGCGATTCAGTGGATGGTGTACACTATCAGCTGCAGAACTCGGAAAGTATTATCGTATGGCGCAGGAGCTTCCGGTTGGTTGTTTTAGGGATTGAGCGAGCCAAAGGTCCCACTTTTACTTAATTCCGTGTTTGAGGAATAGTGGCTTGAGGGGTTGGCTTGGCAGACATCTTTTCACTCCTGCTTAAGCAAGGTTCAGGACACAGGGATAAGCGTTCAGGGCGCAAAGCTGTCGTAATTGAGAATCTGGATCAAGAAGCAACTTACAGGTTGGATTTGTGGTATGATTCGGGCATTCGAGGTTGTGCAGACAGCATCTGAGCTGGCCGGATCATTGGGCGACGTTTCTTGAGCCATTCGGCATGACATGTGCCCAAGAGATCCTCAGGCTTTCCCTGATGAAACGTCCCATGTTTTGCACGTCCGTAAGACATTCCCATCCCTGCATGTAAGCCTCAAGCACACCGAGAGCCCTAAGACCTCTTGCCCTTCAACAGCCCTTCCTAGTCTTCATCCCCAAACCTTGAAGCATACATCCGAAGATAAAAACAACAAATCCCACCATCCTAAACCCCGAACCCTGTAGAAACCTGTGAACCGTATGGCTCGCCTCTTTGAAAATCTTCCGGCGAAGTCGGAAAGCCTCCTCCGCAAAGAGTCCTGTGGACCAGCGAACCTGCGGAGCTCGAGGGTAGAGGACTTGGGGTTTCGGGTGTGGCGAATAGAGGTTCATGGATTTGGGACTTGTACAGCTTGGTCGATTCGTTCAAAGTCTATGACTGTAAGGGTAGAGGGTTCAGGGCCAGTCATTGAGTAGGCGTTCAGGGTTTTCAGAGTGTGTGGTCTCAGGTGACCATGGTTCTTCCCCCAAGGTGCGTGGTCTGGGATAGCATGCCTTGTGCTGTTTTCGAAGCTTGCAGGGATCAGGGACTTTATGATGTGGTGCTGAATGCGCGTACCTTGATGTGCAAGATTAACTTTCCACATGCGCGAAGCCCAGAGCCTCAACTACAATGCTCTCAAAGGGCCAGTTGAGGCTCTAATGGATGCCTGAGCACTCTACTTGCGTGCAGGTATACCTACTGAACCGTTAGGAATTAATTTTGGAGGGCTTGCATGCGCACAACACAGTTGATGTCACGTGGGACGCTGGGTGGGCTCATCATTTGCTGGAGTCAGGCCTTCAAACTCGACAACCCCC